GGATCTATAGGGGGAAAAATACAGGGTTTTTGTTAAAAGGACAACACACGTATAATCTAATTGGAACACAACTTCACGTTAATTTAACCAAGTTGTGTTAGTGTTTTGGCCGCACTTGAGCTTTATTGCTTTAACGAAACTATAATGCGGTTAGAAAATAGAATCATGTTAATCCAGATTTCTAATACAATGTTATTTTTATTGTAATGATGATTATAATCTTGTGTTATTGACAATAGTTATTAATTATTGAATAGTGATCAAAACGGATTAAAAACTTGTTTAATCTTTGTGGCCACCACTTTATTCATAGCTAATCTATGGCGATTAGCACAAGAAACAACAAATAAATCACTTGTCACTGTTGCGGTCACTTGGATTTATGAGCTTTCGTCCCGATGTTTTATCTAAAGTAGATTTGCGGAAAGATTTGTCAAGAAGTCTGCCCATCTTTGGATTACTGGATTTTATTTCGACACCTCTATTGGGAAAAAAAAAATTAGGCTATATGTACGAGTCCAAGAGAGCGTCCGTAAGAAGACTATTTTGACATGGGGACCAAAAATTGGAAGTTGGAAGTCACTGAAATAAAGACAATGAAAACGATGGAAAGATCCAAACATCAAATGGTAAATGACAAAATTAGTAAAAGTTACTTGGACGTGAGGGAGAAGTTATAGGCAAATTGTAAGAGCAAGTTATTAGGCCACATGTACGTACTTAAAGAGAGTAAGAAGAGTCTTCGAGATGTGGACCAAAAATATGATCAAGAGGCAACTAACTGACAAAAAAGGAAAAACGGAATTGTGGAAATGGTCTAATTAAACATAAAATGGTAAAGATTTGAAGACATCAATAGATATTGTTGAGTCACTAAACCAGCTCGTCGAGTCCGTAAACCCGTAGCCACTTAACCGCACTAATCAGTGGCCATTCCGGGCTAACTAAAATTTTCGCAACTAGGCTTTTAAATTAGTAGTCCAAATCACTGATTTATGAGATAAGTCCTTAGAAGACTCTTGCGGAACTTTGGGACGGTGAGGTATGAGACTCATCATTGAATATGCCAAATCATTCACAAATTTGTCATAGATGAAGTCATTAGTCATACAAGTTGTTTCTTACAAAAGTTACATTCATTTTACTTATAAGCTCCATCCAGCAGTCCCATGCACGTTTTATGAAAATACATTAATCTTCAAATTATATTCGATGCTGAATTGCTGATCCATTATTACGAAGTTATTATAGTAAGTTGCGTATAATTAAAGATTGTAACAAGTACATTTCAAAAAAAGTTTATTGCATCATCAAAGGAGAAAGAAAGCAAAGATAAACATTAGAGAAATAAGACATATATAATGGCGTGATGTTAGATCCCAACCGTTAGAGCCATCAAAAGCACCCGTTAAGGAGTTCGACAGCTGGCCCAGCGATGATATTGCAAACGACCCCAACGGTTAGAGCCATCAATATGCTAAACATTTTTCTTCCTGTACTCGTACCCGACTCTTGAACCTGACCTTGATTTGTATATCCGTGAACCTGGCCTTGATTTGTATACCCGTGATTGTAATAAGGCTAGTGGTAATAATACTGAGAATGGTAATATTGCGGCTGCGGTGGCTCAAAACACCTTTGCTGAATTTCCGTTGCTGCTACGGATGCAGAAAAATTAACGCATTCCATGTGAACATCTAACCCGCATGGACCGCACTTGTACCTCCAAGACCGGATTGCACCGCGACAAACCATATAGATGCTGCTAGCTCCCCACTGACTCAGCCAGGGCCGGCCCAAACTATTTGAGTGCCTAAAGCAAAAAAAATTTTGGCCCATTAACAAAAGTTGTTATTAAAAAAAAATACAAATTTTAACATGTATGGGATTCGAAACCGTGACCTGTACAACAAAAGACTTCAATCTAACCACTAGACCACAATAACATTTTAAAAATTGATGCCCTTAAAACTACTTATAATTATTTGATGCCTAAAGCCCTTGCTTCATGGGCTTTACCCATGGGCCGGCCCTGGACTCAGCTCTAAGGGGATGGGCCGGGTGAGGCACGTGCCTTACGTGCTGAGGTAGCTGCGTGCACAGTGGGTGGACATCAAAGCCACAAGGCTCACATTGGTAATAGAGCCCCTCGGCTGATTCATCGCATATGTCGCACATACGTTTGTTCTGGTGCGTATGCTCTGGTCCTCTAAAGACTAGCTGAAGCTCGTGCTGTGGATGCATAAAGCTAACGAGGGAAGAAGGACACGTGGCACAATGATCGTGAAGATTGTAGTCGCACCAGGTGCAACGGTAGGTCTTCCCAAAGCCGTAGGTTTTACAACCACCGCATGTGAACTCGCCATATCCGTCCACTTTCGTTAATGGATGGATATGAGTAAAATGTTGGACTACTTGCTGTTCTGGCCTGGACGAAGACATCTTGGTTGTTTTTTTTTCTTGAGAAAGGTTAGAATTTAGAGGATTTTATAGACCATTCCGAAGCATTGTTTGGGAGATAAGTAAGAAATTTTTGATTAGTTGTGGTTACAAAATATAAACTTTCGTTAGACCATTTCAAATAAACAATAAGTTTGTTCACTTGTGGTTACAAAAATATAAACTTTTGGTCACTTGTGCTCCTACGAATAATAACATTAACTTAGTCGTCACAAACTAGTACAATGTGGTAGAGCGGTTTAGTTGACATAGGCTAGTTGACTTCTTTTTTGAGCCACTGTTCTATTTTTTAATGATCAAAGACTGGTTCAAGGTTTTTTGGGCTGTCTGCTCATGTCCCCATGTAATATAGCATTTCAACTAGGTTCCACCAATACTTTCATCTTCTTCTCAATTCCACCTGAACAACTTAAATTCTTCCCAATTCTACCCAATCTTATATAATTCCTTCCAATTAACCAAAATCAATTATTTTCTCTAATTGCGTTTTAAAATCATTAAATCGTGAAGATTGGATTTCGTTTTGCAACCCGAAAGTCGAAGAAGTTGACCTGACCAATATCTAGCAACCCGAAACGAAACCCACGGATGCCACATAGGAGTAGCTTTCCTCAAAACGAAACCCAATCTTCACGATTTAGTGATTTTAAAACAATGGTTTGTGGCCCCCAAAATTTTAAAACAATGGTTCAAAAACGAATACTCGCAAGTCTATCAATTTTTGGGAGCCACAAACCGAGTATTAGTTTTTTTTTAAACTACTTGTTACTTGGCTTGTACTTGCAAGTATCTAAATTATATTACTTGGTACTTGCCTTGACAACAACGAGTACTTAACCACATGGTGGTGGGTGAGTGGTTCTCGTTTGGTTGGAAGGATCGCCCTGTTGGTCTAGGCCAGGGATCGATCCTCCCCAGACGCAGTTTCGCTCTCTCACTCCTGTGGCCACCTGGGAATTTACCTGCGGACTTGCTCAGGCGCCCCAGACCACCAGTTTATCAGGGGGCCCTTAAGTGGAGGCTTACAAATCCCTGTGACGCGGGCTTAGGCCCAGTGGGCTAGTCAGATCACTGTGTGGTCTGGATACTGGGTTATCAAAAAAAAAACAACGAGTACTTATTTTTTCAAGGCGGGTACGAAGCAAGTAACATGTACGGGACGAGTAACGAGTAATCATGCCCAGCCCTAGTTTCAAGTGGCTGTGCCGGCCCTGGCCTGTTCTTGGGAACAAATTCATAGGACAGAACAAATATCTTGAATGGATCCATAGGGTTCGAGCTGATCTTGTTAATTTCTTGACTTGATTGACGTAACAAGGGTGTCAGGAATCCATTTCGTTAGATGCATGGTATAAAATATTAAAATGCATGGTATAAATGCATTTCATAAATGGTGGTACTGTGTCTGTGTACCATTGTTCTATTCTGTTCATTTTGTTATATATGGCGCAATAACTAAATCATGTTTATTTTATAATCATCAGTGATCAGCAACAATGACATGTTGCAATGACTAAATTATGTTCTTTTTGCAGTAGATGACTACATGATCAAACACATATTCGATGTTTATATAATTAGGTCCATATTTGATGATATCCAAGTTTTTTTAGATTAGACAGATGAAATGATTGGTGAATTATATTAAATTTAAGGTTTTTCCAAACAAAAGGAACAAAATATTATTTAATTTAGATTCTAATTCATGAATTTTGGTTTTGCTTTGTGACGTTGATCATGTTCACGTTGAGGAGAGACTGCGTTGTGTCAACAGTTTCTTCACGAGTGGCCATGATGAGGTGATGGTGGCTGGGAGCAGAGAACAAAGAAACAGAGGTCTGAAGGAGGAAACAAAAAAATGAAAGAAGACGATGAGAAAAAAGAAGCAGCCGGGAATAAAAAAATTGGAATATCGTTTATGCTCTGATTACCATGTAGTGAGCAGGGCCGGCGTATGGGGAGTGCTTGAAGAGCAAATGTACAGGGCCAAATTTTTTTGAAGTAAATTTAAGAGCCCAAATTTATTTTTTAGTAAAAAAAAGGGGTAATTTTTAAGATTTTAAGATATTTTTAGTATGAAAAAAGCCTACATATTTTCTTTAGTATGAAAAGGCCAATTTAAAAGGTTTTTTAACATGAAAAAGGCCCATTTTTTTGTATGAAGAAAAGACCCATTTTTAAAATTTGTACATGAACTCCAAATTAATTGAGCTGGAGTGATTCTTTCTTATTATTTCCAATAAATTGTACAAAGACATTATATAGCAATTACAGCTGAAGATTCTAGAGAATGATAATTACAAGGTTTCTATAACTGAATTAATATCAAATATTATAATCATAAAGGGGGATCTTTGACAACATGCAATAAACTTTTTTTTTGTTTTTTGTGTGTGTAAATTCACAGTAGGAAACAGACGTGCCAGACCAGGGCCGGCGCAGAGGGCAAGCCACCGAAGCCACCGATTAGGGCCTCAAAATTTGAGGGCTTTTTTACCTAAAAATTTGTTAAGTTTTCTTATATACAATAATTTTTGTAGGGCCTTTTAAAAATATTGTGGACTTTTAGAGACAACTATAACATACTTTTTAATAGTAAAAATCTAATTTAAAATAATTTTTTTTATGGACTTTAATTTTGATTAGGGCACCCAAATTTACCGGGCCGGCACTGTGCCAGACCTTAATGGCATAAATTTACTGACGTGCCATTTCAAAACATCTGTTTAAGGATGTCGGAAATTGGCGAAGCGATGATATTGCTAACAACCCCAAGCCCTACGTTCTTCAAGAAGCGAGCCGCTCTTTCTCTTTTAGAGTGACGCGGCTCTAGACCCTCAGTCAGCAGTGCGCAGACTGCATGGGCATCGAAATCGCAAGCGTTACAACGGTAATAGAGCCCCTGGACTGATTTAGTGCAGATGTCGCAATAATGTTCTGGTCCTTTGAAGACTAGCTGGAGCTCGTGCTGTGGATGCATATAGTTGTGGAGGGTAGGAGGACACGAGGCACAGTGGTCGTGAAGATGGTAGTCACACTTGGCGCAGTAGTACGTCTTTCCAGAGTCGAGAAGGTTGCAGCCAGTAGCGGACCCAGCCAAAAGTTTTACCCAGTGCAAAAAAATACACTTGTGGAGAATTGAACCCTGAACCTCATGGTTATAGGGTATATCTTATAACCACTGAACCAATTGCATCAATGTATATAATGCAAAATCACAACAATTTATATATTACCTGGTGCAACTGCACCCCTTTCCACCAACGTGGGTCCACCCCTGGTTGCAGCCATTGCATTTGAAGGGACCAGAGATAACCAACTTTAATGGGTGGATATGGTTGAAGTGTTGTAGTACTTCTTGTTCTGGCTTCGACGAAGACATTTCGTTCTTTCTTTTTTCCTTGATAATTGTTAAGATTTGCGAGAGTGAGTGGTGGTTTTATAGGCAACAATTATCAAGGAAGAAAAAAAAACAACCGGTTAATATGGTCCATACGGACACAATCCCATGCAAAATTCTAGTAGGCCAAAATTCTTGTGGTTGACTTGAAAAATCAACGGTTATCCAGTCCTGTTTCAGCTCACTGCCTCACCAACTAGAAAACTATCTCGAACCGAACTAGCTAGATAACCATTGATTGGTAGTACGTGCCTTCCAATATATTTTTCACATCGATAACTTCAGGAAATGTTAAAAACTCTCTGTATTTGGTTGGCTCTTTTTAGACGACTCTGACTCTGTGGCTTATTAGACGACTGACTTTGTGAAAAGCACAAATATTGTAGTGTAGCCAAAAGCCAAATTAAAATTTTAAATTAGGGCTAATTACTCAAATACTCCTTGGAAACGTGACAGCTTATGCTGATGTCATTCTTCTACTACGAGATTCTAGTTTAAAATCACATTCATGCAGTAGCATACTTAATTCATAATATGATAAATTTAGTTAATATTTTCGGATTTATTAAATCATACAAGATATAAATACCTCTATGTTTTATCTCAAATAAATTCAACTGGTCACTGTTAAATTTATCGGTTAAGCTGTGTTGGGTTCATGAAAAGTGTCGTTCTTTAGTTCAGTTTGATACTTGTGTGAGGCAGCTTTGATTTTTATGGGACTTGAAGAAAAAAAAGTTATGTTCTTGCTTATGCCTTATGTATCACAATGGGTTTCCCTAACAATGTTCATCTTTGGTTTGCCTAACGTACGTATTTAGCATGCGGTTAGGACCTTGTTAGTCCGGATTTCTGTTTCTGTACTGACGAGTAGTAGTTTAGTAGTAGATTTTGTAAACTCGTTTTCCCTACATCATGCAAATGTTATTTTTTATTTATAAACTTGTAAATATCATTAAAGAATGAAATGTTCAGGGCTTCAGGCTTTACAAAAAAATTAGACCTATACTTTACTACCTTGCAAAAAAAAAAAAAAACAAAAAACAAAGTGGCACAAAACACATGAGAAAAAGAGGAAATCTCATTATTACCAAAGTTGCATTAGATTTGCAAATGTTATTTTTAAAATGATATATGCATAGTTCGGACGAAGTAACCGACTTTTAAGTTTAGAATCCTGATCCGATATTATAAATTCAAGGTCAGCCAGATGGATTTTTTTTTTAGTTTGGTCTTAGGTTTTTCTTCTTCATTCACAGATTTTAAAATTCCAATTGAATTTCTTTTGTCTATATGTATCTTGTTGAATCTAAACTTAAGAAAACAAAAAGTTTCGTCGAATTGTTTAGATTCTAATTGTTTATCTGCTGAAGTGTGGTTTGTGGAAAAAATTGTAAAAAAGTCTATTCATATATGGATTAGTCGGATTTTACTTGGACACTAACGCTAATGCTAATGAAAAAAAAAGAAACCTATTAGGCTATATATATATGTAGGACTCCAAGAGAGTTATAAGAGCAAGATGAATCTTTTGGCATTTATCACTGAAATAAAGAAAATGGAAGATAGTGGAGAGGTCCAAAGCATCGTATGGTTACCTGGACTTGAGGATTGTTGGCTACAAACCTACGTCCCACATCGGAAATATAGAAAAAGAAGTTTCTAATATATAACTAAAGTCCAACTCCAATTACTATGAGGCATTTTGGGAAGAAGCCCAATAACAAATCCGTGTGAACTTGAGCATTTAGATCCAAAACGGACAATATCATACTATGGAGAGTTGGATTGGGTTTGGAAAGCCCAATAAATGGTATTAGAGCCTAGTTTGAAAAATATAGACTTAGGGGTGTGGGCTAAAATTCGGTGTGGGGAAGCCCTCAAATGTGATACGATAAGAAGGTGCCTCAAGAACTTCGCGAATAAGAAAGTGCCGAGTTAGGGTGCCTAGGTTTCGCTGAAGAGGAGACCCAATGTTCGTGGTCCTTGGTTTGAAGGGGAGTTTGTTGGGTACAAACCAACATCCCACATCGGAAGTTTGGAAAAAGAAGTTTCTAATATATAAGTAAAGTCCAACTCCAGTTAGTATGAAGTCTTTTGGAAGGAAGCTCGATAATAAATCCGTGTGGACTTGAGCATTTAGACTTAAAGCGGACAATATGATACTATGGGGGGTTGGATTGAGTTTGGAAAGCCCAATAAGGATAATCGGGGAAGATCCCGACAAGTTGTAGGATAATTATTAGGCCACGCGTATGATGTCAGAAGAGTAAGAAAGTCTTGACATGT